AATACTTTCCAAATTCAAGTAGCAAATCACACCTCTGATTAATGTTTTGACCCCATTAATTCAGAAATATATTAGACAACTGTGCAGCTACATGGATTACTATTTAATGCAGTTATTTGAATTTTTGGCATATAATTGATAGTAACAAGTGAGGTTTCTAATTTTTTATGATATTCTGATTTTGTGCAGACCCCTGTAGGGCTTTATAGCTTTCCAGGGATAACATCTCACCCCTAATATACGCCCCCAGGATTTTAGGCTCCAGGCCACTGGGGATTTTGAGTGCGGCAGGAAAATGCCAACCAGTAAACAGAGCACTGGGAGAGCCGGTTCTTGTTTGTGTTGCTCTGAGTGTAGGTACTGCTACACTCATTAGTGCATTGGGAGTTGGAGATGGGAGACTACGTCCCTGTCCCAGCGGTCTCTGCCAAAGCACAAGCAGCTGCTGCAGCTGGAACAGTTGCTCAGGAAGGGCTCTCAGAGAGGAGAGCCACTGGGATGGACTGGAATTTGGCTGAATCACCCTGGCTGCCTGCACAAGGGTGGTGGAAGGAACACCTCTACTTCACTGTCTTTCTTCTCAGCAGTTTTTATTCACTTTTGGTTGCTTCCTTCTCCCCCTTCCCCAGCTCTTTCCCCTCTTCCTTGTTGTCATGGGAACATTCACTACAGTGGTTAAATCATACTATTAAAATATGCTTCCCTGGTAGAACGGCAATAGCTAATATTGATCTAGCTACTGCTGACTCAGAGATATAGTTGAACATATAATGTCTCTTATTTCTTTTCTTAATGCATAATACAGCACTTTCTTTCACCTTGGGCTCTGTACTAAAGGTGACACTTCGCCACAGCAAAAAACTTTGACTTGCTTTTTTTAATGTGTGGCCCAGCTGAGGCATTGGATGCGGGTGGTGTTATGAGGCTGGCTTTAAAATCTGCAGAAAATGATCAGACAGGGAAAAAAAAAATCACCCTTGCTGCGGCTGATCCTCGCAAGCAATAGTTCTAAATGTTTGTATGCCAGTGGTGAAAAGACATTCAGATTAAACTGTCAGCATCCACAGACACGCAATGTGCTCCAAATAACTTTGTAAGTGTATTGCTCTCTGTCCCAGAAATGGTTGAAATGTAGATGAAAGACAAATAACTACCTTAATATCAAGTGAGGCTGCATTTAAAAACGTCATCAATCATGTCTGTTGTCACTGACATCTGCTTTGAGTAATCATCCTCACAGCAGCCCATAATGTTAAGCAGAGCATGGTAAGCATATTCCTGAGTCACCAGAAAGAAGCAAAAGTAGAAAATTCTGCCTTGAGAAGTGAGTTTGCAGTGTTTGCAAGGCAAGCATTTCGCTTTCCCGCAGTGGCTAATTAACCAGCTCCACCTTTATGAGAATTTCCTGACATTGATGGTTTTGGTGAGGTAAGATTGAGGTGTCTCTGGAATTCCCTTGTTTACCCTCCGTTCGAAAAATTCATGATTTAGAACCAGCGTATTGTCCAAATAATTAAAATAGTGCAGTTTTAACGTGAATAGTGTTTGCACCTGATGGTGCTTTTCTAATTTTGTGATACAGGCACAGCAAATGGTATTTTAGAGTCTGTGCTAGAGAGACCTCCATTACCAAAAGAGTAAGTGCTGAGAAGCCATCAATTTCCAGCTTATTTGTACGTGTTCTTGAACATCTGCATGGAAGTTATTTTGTGTTACAACTCATGTTATGTTTGATCTTTCCAGAAAAAATCAGGCAAAGATATGCAGATCTACCGGGAGAGTTGCACATTATTGAGCTTGAGAAAGACAAAAATGGGCTCGGACTGAGTCTTGCTGGCAACAAGGACCGCTCTCGTATGAGCATCTTTGTAGTTGGTATCAATCCAGATGGACCCGCGGGACGAGACGGGAGGATGCATATTGGCGATGAACTTCTAGAGGTTGGTGTTTCCTTAACTACTACGCCGGGCTCATATGGAGAGAGGGAGAGGCATATGGGAAGCTATAGTTTGAACCTTAAATAAAGCCTGCAAGTGGAATTAGGTGGCTGAGGCAAGGAGCTGCGCTGATTTATGCCAACTGAGAACTTGGCCTTTGGCAGGTAAATGTGTTTTCAGTGAAACAAAAATCGTTGGCCCGTGAAAACTAATGTCTTGTCCGTGAAGTCTGGGCTCTCAGCATGTTCACAGGCTTTGCTTAGGGAGGGGCTGTGGAAAGGCAGGAAGGGGATAGTAAATCTGTCCTTGGATTTACCACGTACGTGGTTTCACAGGGAAATTCACGCCTTACGTTAAAAAAAAACAAAACCCCCTCAGAGTTACCATATGTGTTTTTACAGATGACAGGGATATCCCCCATCCTGAAAATGAAATTTCGTGCTGTAATCTGTTTTGATCTGTTGTAACTTAAAATACTTATTTTCTTTAGTCATGTCTGGCACAAGTTCACCCACAAGGCAAGAGAGCTCGTTAGCAAGTAGAGTGTTTTGTCTCCACTTTTTCTCCTATCTCCTTGCTTCACCTTCAGATTGAACATGCAGATTTCTTGCACTTGGTCTGATTTTTGCCTGTTACAAAATGACACTTTGCTGCGGTACCTGCAGTGGTTCCCCATGTCGTGATTGTTTCAGTGGTTTAAAAAAATCAGCCATCCCTGGGGTTCTTTCCATTAGAGAGAAGCTGTCACTGAAGAGCAGGTATATGCTGACCTACTGCTCTCCATGGGTGGTGATTTTTTGATCTTTCAGCAACTCTCTGTGTCATCAGAGAACCACCTATTTTCTCAGGTTTCTTGACTTGAGAAAGAGCAATTTGACTGCCTGGGGATACCTTGGGAATATTGTCAGAATTGTCTAAGCATTTGTCATTGTCTAACAGTTCTGTAATTATGGGTTTTCAATACACATAGTACAAGAAAGACTTGTTTTGCTATAATAATAACACCATCTGAAGTTTTTTATTTTCTTTCTAAGTGCAATAAATGGTATAAAGGTCTATACCATACTGGAGTAGGGCAGGAAAATTACTTTCTCCTTCAAATTTATGTTCTTTCTGTTCCTGACACCAAATTCTAATGGTAAAAAAAAAAAAAAAAAAAAAAGTCAATTTTTAAGTGTATACCAGATGAAAGGACTCATGGTGCTGTTTTCCTCTGTCCATATCATAGACTAGATAGTTTGTGGTAGAGGAAAGGTTGAGCCTTTTGTATTGATACTTTTCAACAAAGAAAGATGCACTGAAATTTTCTTATGTCTCACAAGTTATTCCTTGCAGTGTGTGTTTGATCTAATGTTAAGTATCGCTAGCAGTGCTTGAAAGAAGCCCCATCTGTGATTAATCACACACATCTCAAGGCTCGGGATTTCTATGCATGAGCCATATTGTAAGTAGCGTTTTCCAGAGTGGTGGTGTTTCCCTAATTCCTTTCCCTGTCAAGTTGGGAATAAAATGATTTTTTTTTTTTCTTCAGTGGAAGGAAAGTGATGTTCACCATCTCAAAAACGCCAAACTTCAAATAAACTGAAGTTCAAAGAGACTTTAGTAACTGCCTCACTTGTTTACCTTTGCAATAAAATCAAAGGTGTGTCACTAGTGGGCAGAAGTGTGATTTCTTATAAGAAAGGATGTGATGATCTCATTCTGGTCCCCAGTGAGCATGTATCCAGTGTCAAAACATCCTGTATTGCAAAGGAATGGGTTGTGCATAAGTCGCATACAGACGTCTCGTGTTCGCACCAGTGGTCCATTATACAGAGCTCTGCTTTTTTGTCTTTTAAAAGCATTTCAGTGTTACGTGAACAGCATTGAAATGGAATTAATGGGCATTTACACTGGCAGGTGTTTTTTTCAATAACCATTAGGTTCAGTACGTAGGTTATTTCAGTAACCACTAGGAATCCTCATACCCGACAAGTATACAGGTCACTGAGGTAGGAATATCATGGAATGGTTGGGCCTGGAGGGGACCTCCAGAGATCATCTGGTCCAACTCTCGTGCTCAAGCAGGCCCACCTCAAGCCAGTTGCCCAGGACTGTGTCCAGACAGCTTTTGAATATCTCCAGTACGATCTCGTGGTACTTCCATGACAGTGATGCAGAGGTCAGGGTGGTCAACTGGCTTTACTTGCAGTGTCTTTTACAACAAAATACGTTGAAAGAGCACTAATGACAAACTCGAGCATTCAGAAGTCAGGAAACGACAGAATCCAGATTGTTTGGTTTTCTGCAGTTAAAGACTAAAATTAAAGACCATGAGTATGGTCACCGGTCACAGAAGCATTTGTCTCTCCCATGGTTTCCTTTCCTCGTTCAGAGACCTGCCTGGACAATCTTTTCTGATGGGGCAACTTAACTTCTCTTCCTTTGGGTAGTGCGTCACTGCGTGTAAGTATTTCATTGCTCTGCCTGCAGACTGACCTGCTGGCCGTTTCCCACTGCTCAAATACGTATTATTTTATTATAATATTATTATAATATTATTCTATTCCATAGAAAAACAGCTATTCAACTTTGCAACCACTTCGTTCAAAAGCATTTGAGGCCATTTTCCCCTGAATTCTCATCTCTTTGTCAGCAAATAGACAAACCACCCTCATCCCTCGTCTAACTGCATGTTTTAAGTATATTTGCATCTGCATCGTTCATTACACGTCAGGTTTGAATACCAGAGTGTATCAGCAAGAGAAGGGATTCACATCTTGGGAAGCCTTTAGCATTTCTGCACTGTCCTGGGGTGCCCCAGAGAATCCTGTTAGTGTTGCTCCATTAAAAGAGTGGATGCTACTTCAGTGTGTGCAGATTATTCCCCATGGCTGTTGATGGGGATAAGGTTAATGGGATGGAGAGAGAGAGATAGACAGACAGACAGACAGACAGATAGATATTGCCTCTTCATTCTTCTTTTGAACTGGAGTTTGATTGGATTCAATTGAAGGATGTGGGATGCTGCCAGACTGCCTCAGCTCCTTATTCATAACATCTTTTGTCACTGAATTAATGAAATATCATCTTGCTTTTAACTTCTGCAAATGACAGTAGTCTTTTTGGGGCATGATCATGGCTCATTTTCGAAGTCAGTCCAGCCTATACATTGAGTGAAATGCAGGTCACGTAAAAAAATTGTATATCATCATTATTTTTTTAATATGTCTTCTGTGATGTATTTTAGATGGGTATGTTGCTGGAGAAAACAGGTTTTTGAGGGAGAAGGTCCTTTCATCCTTCTTTCGTACGTGGAAGAAAATTACTTGGGTCAGAATTTGATCTCTGTGAGAAAGAATGTATTTTTTATACGACACAAGTTCTGCTTTTCTGTTCTTTTTCCAAGCAAAGAAGCCATCTGTGGTGCTCCTGCCTTGCACTCTTGCTGTTTTAGTGCAGGTGTCTGCACCGCTTCGTGTCTTATTAGCTTGGGCTTAGTCCTGGGGCTGATTGTGCCCAGCATGGCCCGCAGCGTGTTCCTGCGGTGCTGTACCTGTGCTGTTAAGCCCTGCTGCTCGTGAGCTCTGCATGGCTCTGTCCTTTGGTGGGTTGTATTCACACCAAATAATCCACCCTATTATTATTTTTTATTATTATTATTATTATTATTATTATCTCTCTGGAAGAAAGTCAACTGTGTTCTATTAATAAACTAAGCTGTTCAGAGCCCTGTTATGCAAAATTACTGACGTTGGGATTTTCTGCTGTCTTCCTGTCCCTGCTTGTCTTGCTGAAAATGGGGCAGGAGATGGGAGGAAACTGCTCCTTTGGACGTTTTACTCTAGGAGGCTACGGCACATCACGAAAGTAGTCAAGAATCAGTGTACAAATTTGCCTCTTGTCCATGCTGCACTGTTGCAGGAGAGGCATTTTTCTTTTCTTTTTTTTTTGTGACATTTTTGTCATATCTCCAAGCCAGAGAGCTTTTGTGCTAAATGAATTTTTATTTCTGTTTTATTTTGAGATTCTTAGATAAATATAAGTTATGCTGTAATAACATAACAGATGCATCAGTATTTTGCCCAAGTAAATGAACTACACAGCCAAATTTGTGATGTTTTAGAATGTGGGGGGGGGCTGGTGATATGTGGAGCTGTTGGAGCGGGTCCAGATGAGGCCACGAAGATGATCTGAGGGCTGGAGCACCTCTGCTATAGAGACAGGCTGAGAGAGTTGGGGCTGTTCAGCCTGGAGAAGAGAAGGCTCCAGGAAGACCTTCCAGCACCTTCCAGTACCTAAAGGGGCCTCAAGAAAGCTGGAGAGGGGCTTTTTGCAAGGGCATGTAGTGATAGGACAAGGGGCAATGAAAAGAGGGAGGAAATGAATTAATGAATCTTTAAACTGAAAGAGGAGAGATTTATATTACATATAAGGAAAAAACTTTTATTCACACCGAATAATCCACCCTATTATTATTTTTTTTTATTATTATTATTATCATCTCTCTGGAAGTATGATGAGGCACTGGGACAGTTTGCCCAGAGGAGTTGTGGCTGCCCCATCCCTGGAAGTGTTCAAAGCCAGGTTGAATGGGGCTTTGGGCAACCTGGTGTAGTGGAAGGTGTCCCTGCCCATGGCAGGGGGGTTGGAACTGGATGATCTTTGAGGTCCCTTCCAACCCAAACCGTTCTATGATTCTATGATAGTGGGATTTTCACACTGGAGTTTTCATAGAATCATCTTGGATGATTAACTCCAGTGGTTGATATTTCTTTTTTTAATTCCTATTTAAATACAATAGTCATAGCTTCTGTTCTTGTTTCCAGATTCATTCACTGAAAGTCACACTGAAGGGACAGTGTCCTTCTGGCCTTTTCGTAGGATACAAATACTTTTTTCATGTACTTCATATACAGGTTACCAGTTAGTGTTGGGTAGTGATTTTTAAAGCTGCAAATAAGGTAAATCTGTAATCAGAAAGACGGTTGTTCATGAGGACACAGGCAATCTGCAGTTTTCTGTCGTCCCATTTCTCTTTCTACACTCTGTAGGTGGGGAACCACAGGGGTCAACGGCTGCCGAGCCGACGGCAAAGCTGAACTGCAACGCAGAGCGGGAGATTTTCTGTCTTTATGGAGTTTATGGTCTGTTGATCACTTTGGGTGATGCACTTGTTTGAACGTGTGCTGGGCAAGAAATTTAGTGAGGAAAGAAGGTCTCACATTCTAATTAATTATTTTTTCTTTCCAGTATTTTCCTCTTTATTGTTTGAGGATTGGTTGTGTTTTATGGGGTTTCAGCCTACATAATTTGACTGATCAAAAAGGTTGTGAAGCTTTCCCATTGTTTCAGAGTCTGCTTGTATCTCAAAATGCTACAATTCCTGTGGTTAGAAGGAACCTAATGCATTGGTACAAAGAAATAGTTATTATAGAAAGCTATGCCAGTTCTTTCACTAGCTTTGGGGTATCATTTAACTTGATTTTCATAAAAATCAGATGATACTAATTTGATGGATTTCCATTACTGCCACATAGTAAAAACAGTTGTCTTTCTTTTTTTAAAAAAAAAATATCCCTATCTAATGTTTCTCCTCTGCAAATTAAAGCAAATAATCCTTTATTTCTTTTTCTCTTAATTTAAGAGTTCAGATTTCAGTGAGTTTGTACTTTCTGCTACTTTAGTGTATGAAACTGTAAAAACTTTTGTAAGCAAAGGCAACAGTACATTTGGGATATGTGATAAAATCTTCCATAAAGCAGTATAGGGTTCTATTAAAAATTGAACTGAAGTGTACTGACCTGACCTCGTACCTGTAGCATGTTTTTATCTGTCTCCGTTCTCTCCTGCCTTTCCAAGTTAAGTAAAGAGACATTTAAAGAAGAGTGGAGATTGATTTAGATCCATTTATTTCTTTTGCTTAGTCAAAGCTTTGTTTTTCTTTTCTAATCTCTAATGAAAAAAGTAAAGCACAGATTTATAGGTTTTGACTCCCAGAGTACTATTTGGTTAATCTGATGTGTTACTTTATTTAATTTGAAAGATTTAAAATGGTATTCCTTATGAAATCCTAGATGTTCTCTTTTTTGTTTTATTTAAGTAGGCTTTTGTGCTTTGTTCACCACTGTGGTATCTGAAGCTAACGGAACATTAATTTACTTTGCAAAAGAAAGTGACCTTTTTTTTACAAAAAAAAAAAAAAAGAAAGAAAAATTAATACTGGCTGTAGTAACTATGTGGGACGGTCCAAAACCTCGTGGAGATATATTACTTTGATTATCCTTTCATTTTGGTGTAATTAAATAATTATAACTTACAGACCCAGCTCACAGCTAATTTAATTTTGGATTATTTGATACATCTACTGAATAGGATTAATTTAGCCAGAGTAAAGACTATAAATTTTAATCTAAGAAGTCTGCTGTTTAGAAGAATTGATGGTAATTTAACTAAATCCAAACAATTTGTAAAGCATACAGTATTCCCAGTGAATAATTTATTTCTGAACTTAGAGAAGTTAAGTCAACAAACTCACTGAAAGTTTCAAGTCCAGCTTGAAGCCAGAATGCAACTGAGCGTTCAGTTTTGCCACCGGGTTTTTCAATTTATTTTTGAACAAAGCATGGCCTAGGGTGTTGCCTCTTGCCCCATCTTTCCAACCATGGCAGTTGCAGACAGCACCATATTAAACCCTTACGAACGTCGGCGTGATGGTATTTCCCCAGTGCTGATCGTTTCGTGCCAGCTCAGGCTCTCGGAGACTTTTTTGGTTCTCTCTTTGTACAGTAAGCAACTTGGGAGGCAAATGGTTTGCACTTCAATTTTCACGAATCATCAAGTGGCCTTGCGTTGTCCTTGTTTAACTGATGAACAGGCATGGTGGTTTGATCCATAGCAAATACGATGGGAATATTGTGAAGTTGCCAGTATGACCAGGTAGCCTGTACGACACAAGGATGTAAGACCTGGCCAGTTATTTCTTGTTCGAATGGAAAAAAATCTTCTAAGAACACAAAACCAAAATCCAATACAAACATTTTCAGTAACAAAAAGTCCTTCTGTAATCGCTAGTGAATTGTTCCTGGGCTCCGTTATCATTATTGTTTTAAACAGCACTGGTATATCAAATGTGAATGTAAATATTATGTTGTAAGTTAAGAAGGGAAAAATTGCAGTATTGAAACAAAGCTGGCTGCTCGCTTTGGAAGGGTGTGTGAGCACGCCAGCTCCAGAGAGGTGCATTAATCTAATCAAGATGCTTGGAGTGAGAATTTTGACAGAGTTAAATAGTAGATTTTTCTGCACGCTTGGAAGCCTCTGATGCTTGCTTAGACGGCAAGACACGAGACGAGCTGAACCGTGAACCTGAACTAACATCATGACTTCAAATACTATTCATTTCAATTTCTTTTCCTTCATCTTTACAGTTTTGCCTTCTTTTTCGGACAAAATAAAAGGTGTTAAATGTAGCTTTTGAATAAGTATCCATGTTCAGGTTCACAGGTATTTGGCTGTAGGTAAATAATTGTTCTTCCATAGAAAGTTGTTGTCTTGATGCTTATTCCAGTCTGAATTGGTGAAGTTGAAGGAAGACAGCTCTAGTAGTCCGGCTCCCTGCTGTCAGGGGAGGATGCTTTCCTTCACCACCTTGCTGAGTGTTTGCTTCAGCTTAGTTTTACCTCTGAAAATCATCAGGGTACAACTAAGAGACTGCTCAAGGGGTTTATTAATCTCCTTGACACAATCTGTTTCTCCTCATCATACTCAGCTCAGCTTTTACTTTCTTTAAATGTATTGTGATATTCATATCTACCTTATGTTCTGCATATAATCCTCGTGACTGTAGTTTGTGCAATGCCTGAGCTGAGAGGCAGGCATCCTCCTAGGATACCTCTGAGGTGGGAGGCATGAACGAAGGGCAGCTGAAGCCCAAGAAACTCAGGACAAGGTGTTAAACACAAGCCTTGCCTGTGAAATGAATGAAATCCTTTGAATATTCCATTTTTACACTGCAGGTTATTTTTGTGGTATGATACTGTGTATGTTTTTGGTTGGCTGGGACATAACTACTATGTTAATCTCAGAGATGCTGTTATCCTTGTTGAAGCCCCACTCGCTGAGCGTGGCACTGGGAGACAGTAAACATCTTACTCTCCTCAAACTGGGAAAATACTTCTAGTTCCTAGAGAAAGAAAAGTCCTGAAGCACATACTGTGTTAAAGCCAAGCAATTGCCTTCTGAAAACTGCAGCATTTACTGGCACGCAGCAAAAGTGTCCGAAGTAGTGCTTGGTGTCTGTTGCTGTGCTTAGGTGTTTGATCCATCACAGCAAAAGTATATGTGGCATGTCCTTAAATTGTCCTTTCTGTCCCCGTGGCTATCAGTTCTTCCTTCCGTGGAACTGAGGAGTCAGCACAATCTTAACAGCAGGTTTTCCTAAACTGCCAGTTGCCTGTAGGTAAGGTATAGAAGTGTCTGTCTCAAAGCCTGTGCTGTGGTCGTACCTATATGATTCTTCTCCGATCAAGTTGTTTTCCAAAAATCTGGAAACAAGACTTAAAATCCATTCTGTGGATCTGTGAAAAAGAGTAAAAGATTTCTCTCTTTTTTGGCTTACTAATAAGACCAAATTAACTCTGCATTGGTTCCTGTTTTGTATTGGTTTAGAATAAAACTTGTGATGTTTTGCTATTGATTCAGTAATTTTTCTTTGATAAATTGGAGTCTGAGATGATGAAAATGTAATATTTTAAAATCTGTTCTAAGGCTGAAATTCTGTAGTCCTTTATGGAGTCAGTATGAGAATGAGGATGTTCTTAAAATCAAATCAGGATTTATCCTTTCAAAAGGAATGATAAGAAAGCTGATGAGAAGTGGTTAAAGCATTGCTGCTGAGTTGCAGACTACACCCCTTCCTCCTCTGGCAGTTGGCTGAGGGAAGGGGCAGCACCCGTGGGCAGTCCAAGGCCCAGCTGAGCAGTGCCCGTCTCCTCCTATGTGCTTATCCTATGATGTCTTTCTGCAGCACAGCTGAACCTCAAAGAGGCTCTTAGTGCCTCAGCTCTGGTATTTCTGTCTCTACAACACTGTATAGACAGGTTTATCAGTGCAACATTGACGTCCCTGTCTGTAAGAACCTCAAAAGTTACTCAATTTATATTTTGCAGACAGCTTTTTCTGTGAGTCTTATCTCTTTATCCCACAGTAAATTCAGAAGTCTTGGTGGTATAAATTAAAACAATGCATACTTCTGCACTTATGTGAAAATCCTCTTTTTCTTTTAACAGATAAACAATCAGATATTGTATGGAAGAAGTCATCAGAATGCTTCTGCAATCATTAAGACTGCCCCATCAAAGGTCAAGCTTGTTTTCATACGGTAAGAACAGTTCTCATCAAAATATTTGTTTGCACTTTAGCCTGTTACATTACATATTTACTGATTTAGCCTGTTTTGAAAATGCTGAACTCACTCAGTTCTCTTTGAAGTGAAAAAAACCTTTTCCTGGACTATTTATCTCAGGACTGTTGAAGAGTTATCCTTAATAATGTAAAAACCCAAGATCTAATGTCATTGAATGCCTATTTTAGGGATGTCTGATGAAGACTTGAGCTGTCCCTCTTGGGTTAGAGAGCACCCTGATAAGAGCTTCTTCCCTTAGAACTTACAGAAGTGCTTTAGGTTGGTTCTGCCAGCACAAAAACGGGGTGGGCAGTTTGCTTCATCCAGCCTGCCAGAAGGGAGTGCAAAGGGTGCAGAGGCTTGGGGCTGGAGAGAGAGCTGCTGCGAGGGGAGCAAACACGTGTGGATGGAGTGCATGGAGCATGGGCTGGGTGGGTGTGTGAAGGACAGCTCTGTATGGGCATCAAAAGAGGTTTTAAAAGGTGAGCTAAGGCTTGTTCTACAGACAGGGAACCTGACTTTGGCAAGGAGCACTGGGATGGCTTGTGTAGGAGGGAATATGCTAAAATAACCTTTCATCTGCATAAGGGCATCTTTTATTTTACTCCAAGCATGAGAATTTTTCCTCTCAGTCTGTATGTGAATTAAGGACACCTCCAAGCAGTCACTCTGTCATTCAGAAAGTGTTACTCTTATGACTCTGGGCAGGAGATCTGGGAAGAAGCTAGTCCTTTCTCGGAACTCATATATGCTTTAATATATTGGAATTTCGTAGATGTATCTATTCCCAGCTGTGCCCTTTGTTGGGCACTTATCCCCTGCCATTTTATTATGTGGTCTTCCCACTAACATATACATCATACTTGATATTGTTTTATATTCTTTGCTCATGCACAGCTTACCTGTGAACAATGTGATAATCTGTGGGTGAATGCATATAAATATGTACATTTACTCGCATGGCTCTGTCTGGTACAGCATACACAGAAATGATGGAAGAGCAGCATTAGCACAGTGAAGAATGAGTTGCTATACTTGGCAGCACAGAGGATCTGGAGGAGATTAATGATCTGGCCTGCAGCTCCCGTGTTACTTTCCCCAGCTATTGAAAATTAAACGTCATGTACAACAACTCACTCACCATTACTTAATTGCACGTGGAAGACGTGTCTGGTTGAAGCTCCAGAGGCAGAACCACAACTTACAAAACCAAAACCCAGGGTTGGGTTTAGTGCTGTTGGGCAGCACGGAGAGCATGGGCATCTTCAACCCAAACCATTCTGTGATTCTATGATTCTTGCAACCTGCCCTGCTGCACCCAGCCCCGCGGCACAGAGCTGCAGCAAAGGGTGTGCCTTAGCTCGAGTTGCCCATGGATCGGAAATCCTCGATGCATATCTTTAGGACACAAAGGCCATGTGTTCAAACAGCAAAGAAAGAAATTCTCCCACTGAGAGGGTGTCATTAGTAACTAGAGCACTGGCTCTAACCTGGGGAGCAAATGTATGTCGCCCTTTTTTGGATGTATGGCCAATTTCTTATAGTAACAGGGGTGTTTCAAAATTTTAGCAAAGCCATATGAGACTGTCTCTCTTAAAGGTGAATTTTAAGGAGAAATGAGAATAATTTCCTTCTGTCATGCAAACTATATTCCATGAGCCCATTCTATCTTGGTGCTTCCTGATCCTACACCTCAGACCACAAAGACTGATTGAAAACACGAACTGAAATACTCTGCTGGTCCCAGAAGTCTTGTTCGTGGTGCAGTTTGGTAGAAAAAGGTTTTGCTTGCTTTATCAACTTATTTTAAAACTCTAATATAAAATGGGGGTATTGAAATGCCACTGCTTAATGTGTTGTGGTGCCAGCTGTAGTAAATAAGAGCAGCAGCAGGCCTCTTGAATCTCCATCCATCTCTGGTACGTGCATGTGCAATAGCTTTTCCAGCTGAGAACAAAGTGCTGAGTGTAGCAGACTCAGCTCTCCTGGTAGATTTGCTGCTTGGCTGATTTCAGATATGTTCCTCTGGGCTCTAATGATGTGGAAAGAGCAGGATACCGTTACATTTGTTATGCTTTGGAAGCGAGGAGGAGCCAGTTGCAGCAGAAATGCTACTTTCCTCCTCCTGAGCACTGTTACCCGTGCAGCTTCTTTTAAAGGTAGAAGGTGCGTAGCATAACGTAGCCAAAACATACCCTGGAGCACGCAGTGAGAAGAGGCCACAGCTCACCGTAGCAAAATAACGTGCACTGCAGGAGTTACGGGAGAAATGGATTTGGTCTTCACGTGCATGAAGATACTAATGTTCTAATTTCACCAGTGAAAGACCTGAGTAGGTTATAGTTTTCCTGAAACATGTCATTCTGCATCTTAAAAAGTTCCTACATGCCTGACTGAGCTGACCTAAAAGGTCATAAAGGACATAAAAGCAAAACTAAGAAGTGACCTCTTTGATATCCTGAGGCCTTATTGTCCTCAGATGAAGGATGCTCAGCGATAAGCACGCTGCTTTTCACTTTGAAGCAGGAAACAGCATCAAGGTTTTCCTATTTCTGGTGTTTTGGTTCATGTGCAGGGCAAGGGGATGTTTCCATAAACTCTTGAAACAGTTACGAAAGAAGCCCAGAAATTCCTGGGCACAGAAGAGCCATTCTGGGAGAACTGTAGTAACTGTCATTAGATAACTTGGGTTTTGTTGCACCTAAATTTATTTTTTCTAGGAAAAAATACAGAATAAAAGGTGTCCTCAGCCTGCTTGACTTTTTACTGAAGTTCTAACTTACCGTCTGAGCTATAAAAATCTGTTCACACTTTTTTTCTCATACTCAGGTAGTGTTACAATTGAATTCCCACCCTTTCCTGAAATTTTTGCTGATGAGACATGGTGCAGTAAGTGTCGTGAGAATCACAGACGTCCCCTTATATTTGAAGGCTTCTTGCTCTGGTTTATGAGCATCTTTTCCTCAATTAAGTTGACGATGCCTATTTAAAAGAGTTGATTTTGGCCAGATTCCAAAATATAGGTCTTAACACAGCACTGTTTCCCAGTGGTCTCATTAATTACATGAGCTTGTAATAGCATCTAAAAGATTTGCAGTTACAGTGTCACTTTTCTTTTTTTTTTCTTTTTTTTTTTTTTTATTTTGGATTCAGTGCACCTCGTGCTTTGTAGCCTCCTACAGTAACAATTTGAAGGCGTTTAACCTGCTCCCCCAGTTTATCAAACAAACAAACCAATTGCCCAAGCACGGCAAGATTTTCCTGCGATGAAACGGCTCGGACCGAGTGCTTCCTTTGATTAGTGTCCGGTCACGTTTTATCTGACCTCAAAGTCTTACAGCTGCCGTGTTAACTTCCAAGCTACTGTAGCAAATAGTGGTTGCCTTTTTAATTTCTGAATATCAGACATAAATAATAATTTGACTGCAGCTTTCCGAGGCGTATGAAGGAGTCTTGCTATGGAAGCGCTGGTGGAAGCGAGTGGCAACAGGGCATGTAAAGGTTTTAGTTGCCTTTTCCAAATTCTTGGCCTGAGTCTCCAACAACAGGAATTAGCCAGGCAGTAATGTGAGGAAGAGACTTGCTTCTTGTAGGAGTCTCTGTGCCCTAGTTCCCAAAATAGAATGGGGTTTGTATCCACTGTGGTTTTTGTTCATGCGTTGTAAGTGCATCCTTTTAAGACGCATAATAAAACAATATAATTAGATTTTACATCTGTGGTAGGAAATCCAGTTTATATCAGAATGCTCTTTTACAGTGAGAATTTTATGATTCAGCAAATTCAGTGTTTCTTCCATGCTCAATTAACTGCCTTTAATCTGTTGTGGCGCTTCAGTGTTGGTATAACAGGCAGATCAAATAGAGTTTGAATGCTTGAATCAAAGTGAATGCCACTGATTTCAAACCATCGTCCCATTGTGTTCAGTTCCACGATTCATTCTTTGGTATACCTTTATTCCTTAAAAGAAAATCATCTGGTGCTGTGATGGAACATGAGGAATGCTTTAAGACTAAAGTGCTGTAGGATTTTGCTTATTTAAATACCATCTGTTTGCTGTCCAGAGCTGTCCTCCCACACTGCAGCGTTCGTTCTGTTATCATCGTGTTCTGGTGATGAGGCTGTAGCTTCTCAGTGGAGCTCACCAATCTCTGTCACCTAACCCCTCCTTCTGCTTCCAGGTGTAGTTGTAAAGACTGATCTCCGGTTATTTCTGGAGATGTGCAAAGGAGAGGGGTCCTTATGCTCTGAGGACTGGGAGAGCGAGGGGCAGTGGCTGGGTCGGCCAGTTCTCGGTGCTGGTTAACGCTCTCCATTGCTGTGACTGTCACCGAGTCTTTGCTCTTCGTTTAGAGCCTCTATAAGTAGCGTTGTGTGTTACATGTGAGAGTCTCAAATACTGTCATGCTTTAGAAATTATTTCTGCTTTGAGTTTCTTCTAACTTACATAATCGGTTGTATTCTCATAGTATAAATTCTGTTTTTACTTGCTTTGATTGTTTAGGTTGTTTCATGTGGGAAAGCTTTAAAAATAAGCTCTTGCCAGACACTCTGTGTGCAAGTTTGAACTTTTCCTGTTTTCTTAAAAGCTGTTTCCTCCTTGCTGTCACACACATGTGGGAACAAGTGCACGGTTGAGGAAGTTAAGTAATTTGGGCTCTTTCAAACCTTTGATGACCTAAGCTGCAGTTTATATGAACATTAATTGTTCATTTAAAGTATCTGTATGCCTTTGGCTCTCACATAGTTAGGAGTGGACGGAGGGGAAATGGAGAACAAGACTGTTCTTGCTGTTAGTAAGAGAGATTTTTCAAGAAGATGCACAATACAAAGGTCTTGCCTTGACCCAGCCAAAGGAAAAATCCAGCGTGCCTTTTCAGTGTGCAACTTTCCTGCAGCTCCTCTTTTCCAAAGGAACATCTAGAGGAAAACAAAGATGAGAAAATACGAGATCTTGACCTGTTCTTTCGTTTTTTTAACAAACAGATTCATAGATTCATAGATTTCTAGGTTGGAAAAGACCTTAGAGATCATCGAGTCCAACCGTCCCTAATCCCCATTAAACCATATCGCTAAGTAGATCATCCACCCTATTCTTAAACACATCCAGGGATGGGGACTCAACCACCTCCCTGGGCAGCCTATTCCAGTGGCTGACAACCCTTTCAGAGAAGAAAACAGGATGAGGGCAATATAGGTTTTCAATAATCTTCTGGACTTTATGCCCTGGTGTCACAACCAGTGGGAGTCCTAAGGATTACTGGGCAAATGTCGTTCATTCACTTGGTCTGCAGATGTGTTCCAACTAAGATGTCACGCAACTGCATACAACTCAATACAATAGAATACAGTACTTTGTATTCCCAAAAAGCATCCCCAACCCTTTACAAAGCTGTTGTCTTTTAGTGTTGATGATGTGTGTAGTTACAGATGGTTTGGCAGGAGGTTCATCTCCCTTAGTTTAAATATCTAGTGGTTGACTGGACTTCTGTGATTAAGGAACGGTTGTCAGGAACCTCCAAAGAGCAATTCAGTTCGTCCTGTCCTAAACTAGGTCATTTAGGTGCCGGGATGAATTGCCCTTCTAAGTGGATCTGGTTTGGGATTTGCCTAGATTTTGCACTGATCATAGAAGAAGTTTGGACACTGTCTTAGACAAGATGCTCTGCTTTAGACAGGTAATGAGTCTCATCCAACATGCACAACAAGGATTTTCGTAGCGTTACATGACAGCGTATCTTCACAAACCTGAGAGACGCAAGAGTGAGTAGAATGAAGGACAGAAAATGTCCTCAAAGGAAGACCGGGAACCTGAATGCAAGAATTACAAGTCTGAGGTTGATGAGCAATTGGAAAAATAAAAAAAAAATACGACCTGAATTTGGCTGAGGCTGTGACTTCTGGTTATCGTCTTAGAAAGATAACTTTCTGAATGCTTCATGGACCATTCCAGCTGTGTGTGACATTTCTCCAAAGTGCCAGAGACAGATTTCTGATAAGTGCAGCACAGCATTGCAGGCCAGCTTAGCTAAAGCCTTACAGCACACAACTTCAACTTCACTTCAGGCTTACTTTCTGCTGCATGGAATGAGTAATGCCTTTAGATTTATATTTGCATATTGCTGTCTTTAGGCTTCTTTTGGGCAAGTGTTTATGGTAGTTAATTATTCGTCAATAATAACTGTGTTTGTCTTTGCTTAAGCTGCACATCTCCCCCTTCATTGGAGGTGCAGTTTTTCGATGGGGCAAAACATCAGAAGTTCTTCTCTTTGGTCAGCAAGAAAGGACAGGGAATGTCCAGGGGTCCTATTTAGACTAGAAAGGAGGTAAAAAAGTAGTAAACTGTGGCCATCTGATTGAATAAATCTGAAAGGGTATGAGCTTTTCTAAAGCTTAAAGAGTCTTTGCTGCTTTGATCTTGCTTCGTGTGACATTTGCAGCAAGGAAAGCTTCTTGTTTCTTCAGTATTGAGCTATAGTTAGTGACGTTGGTAGAAGCACTAGGCACTCTAACCTCCAAGCAGATTTAATTCCTATTTTCTCCCAGAAACGCATCCTGAGAGGTTAGAAGCAATAAAAGTGTTGGTGGGAGGAGTGATGGATTCCTTCCCTATTCAGTTTATGTGTAACTGATGAAATATAAACAGCTCTCTGGCACACGAGCTCAGCGAGGCGGTGGGCTGCCGTCCCAGCATCTTCTAACAAACCAGTATAAGAGCTGGAAGGAGACCGGTGGATGTTTATCGTTTTTGCAGATAATGGAGGGGGAGCGTCTGAGCCGCCCTGCTCTATAAATTGCATTGTATGTTGCTCTGACCCCGAAAGTATGAAGCTGTGTCTTGACTGTGAAGGGTTTCTACATCTTAACCTCAGGCAATATTGAGCACTGGTAGCTGAGAACAGCTTTCTCGGAGGTGGTGATGTAGCAGCTATTGGCAAATGTGTTGAATGCTCATTTGCAGTCACTGTAATTTGAATATGATGTTCAGACTCCTGAGCTGCCTGCTCCTGCATCACAAGAAAATGATTGCTCCTTTTAGTTGTAAATAAATTCATGTTTTAGTTGAGGACACTTAGGGAAGTGGAGAGCAGAAAGAGCAATTTATTATTAGATCTGTCACTTTAAAATATGTTCCCACTTTGATTCTGCTTTGAAGCATTCTCCTTTGAAGCAGCATTAAAGTATTTAAATATGTACGAGTCCTAGCAGGGGGAGATTACAAGTTGTGACACTTTGTAACCTTGGGGTTTTTTTATTCTTTGCATTTTTTTTCCAGGGAATTACTGTAAGTGGTTTTTTTATTGCTTGAAATAAAAATGGCCATCCATTTAAAACTGCATAAAAATGTTTGCCCAGTGCCTGGAAAAAAAAAAAACCACAAACATTTTCTGTGTGAATATATGAAGTAGAAACTAGTTTGTATAATTAATTACACCCCACTTTGTCATGCAGATCATGAAACTTCTACAAAGGTTTATACATACCTTGTTGTTTTCAAGTTTGTTCCTAATTGCAAGGTGCACAGCGTGCATTGTAAGCTACAGAAGTGTTGTTAGTTTTCATGCTGTTTGTGTTTCATATAAACTATCGTCAGAAAAACCTCCAGAGTCAAGTAAAAATTGCTAGGTCTCTTTGGCACCTCACTTCTGCTGATTTATTCTTACAGGTTAGAAAAGCAACATAATTAGACCGATGTCTCATGAAGATAAGAGGAGAAAAAAATGTTCTTGCCTAATATGCCTTACGGGGTAAAATGCACTTGGAAATTGTGAAACATGTATGAAATTCGTGGACTTGATTCTCTGCATTCCTCAGATTTCTGTCTGGGCCCTGTGCACGCGTGTTTCTGCATCACGGACCACTCTGGTTCTGATCTCAGCGTGGTTTCTGACTCTTGCAAGGCTTTGAGCAGGGCCAAGAGGAAAGGCTGGGAGCAACTACAGAAATGAGCAGCACAAAACCAATTCCTTTGAATTGTATGGCTGTTTGGTTGAAGATAAGTAAATGAATTCACCAACCTTTGCCTGCAGGATTTATCATTTCAAATGCCTGTGACTGAATTTCCCATACGCAGCTCTGCTGGGAGCAGGGTTGTCTTTCAGTGATCATAACATGTTAGCTTCATGTGTTTAACTCTTGAGGGATAAAATGAGATTTTTTTCTTCCAGTTACTTCTATAAAATATTTATGAACACAGTACTCTAATATTTTAGATTAGATATAAGGAAGAAGTTTTTCACTCTGAGGGTGGTGAGGCACTGGCACAGGTTGCCCAGAGAAGCTGTGGCTGCCCCATCCCTGGAAGTGTTCAAGGCCAGGTTGGATGGTGCTTTGAGCAACCTGATCTAGTGGAAGATGTTCCTACTCACGGCAGGGGTGTTGGACTGGATGACCTTTTAAGGCTCCTTCCAACCCAAACTATTCCATGATTCTATAATAAGCATCTTCGAAAAATTAATCTATGGTAGTAAAACAGGTTTTATATTTCAGTAATGTGAATTTTAGACTATAAACAAGCAGTTAACAAATGTCGACACTGTTAGAAGAGACTAAGAAAGTATTAACACATCTGTTGATAGGTAGGGATGATCCAACTGCATCCTCTGGTAATCCACACAAAATTAAATTTCCAAAGAATATGATGTCAGTATGTCCCAGATGAAACTACTGTGGTCCCAAGAAGGGATGTAATCTGGTTGCTAGCAAAGAACACAAGCGAAAATGAAGAGCTTTCTAACTTCTGGTAAGAAACAGTTGGTTTTTTTATGGTATTTAGAGCATTTTCTTAATGGGCAAAACCAACTCAAAAGGAAAGTTTGACCATTCTGGTTTAGTGTAATACATTCATTTGTTTTACAGAAGTGAAGATGCAGTCAATCAGATGGCTGTTACTCCTTTCCCCATACCTTCCAGCTCCCACTCTCCTATTGAGGTAAGGTTTGTGGGTTGTTTTTTTTAATTAGGGATTGCTAAATTAGATAGATTAATCATAATTAGCAGTTCATTATAAATTCGAGCACCTTGTCTAATTAAACCTTGAATCATAAAATGCATAGGGTAGGAACTTGACCTAACAGGCATGTTTTCCCCTGTCTGTTTTTTATTGATCTCATCGTTACTGAAAGAGCTGGCGTGGCATTAACAACTGGTATTAAACAGGTTATTGCTGTATAGGGGGAAGAAAAGTCTCCAAATGGAAACCTTGCCACCTCCTCTCCTGCTCCTTTTTCAGCGGGTTAGAGTAGTCGTGGTGAAGATCTTTTGCCTGGAAAGTGAATATCCTCCTGCAGAAGAGAAATGAGTGTTTTTCAGGGGAAAGCTCCCACCTTCGAAGTTCATTTTCCCCCAGAATACCCTCCCATCAGCATCTCAAAATGAAACAGGGATGACCAGCAACTACCTACAGTAAAAGAGGTCACTGTGTACATGGGTGGCATTACAAGACCCCTGTAAGACAATCCCAGCCCAACTGAGAGCCCTGGTCCACCACTTTGTCCTGTGCCCCAGCATTGGGCTCCCTCGTTCCTGCTCATTTTCTCCATGGAGAAGCAGATGAGGGTGGTTTAAGCAGTGAGCTCTTACTACACAGTGTTGTAGCAAACAATCTTCCTATGCAAAAACTTCCTTTGTGTGGTAATCTTACCAATGTTTTTCTTCATTATAGTTGCTGTCTCAGCCCCCATGTAGACGGATTGCTCTCTTGTGCACCATGAATCCCTGCGGTGCCACCACATTGTTATCATTTTGACATCTCGATGTGGTGTAACAACATTTTCTAGATAAAGTACATGGTTAGCCTTGCTGTTGCTTTTTAATTCCATTTCTATTTGAGCTAATAAAGCAAAAGATGTTTTCTAATTCAATTGGAGTTTGGTCTTGCCCGGAATTGATAAATTCATGTGTATTGAACTCTTGGTATTTCAATTACTGTGATCCCACAGCACTGGTCCACCCTGGGTAATGCTGGATGAATCTCCAATTATGCCTTCAAATATCTTTGAAATACCAAATAAATTTTTAACGTTGTGTGTTATTTACATGGGACATGAAACTTGTGAGATCACAGTAAATAGCCTGGCTAGTGTAACAGAATATCAGTGTGCCATAATTACCATGTACTATTGTGTTAACTTTCTTCATCTTATCTCTTTACCTTCATTAAGGTATTTTAATATGGAAAGTGATAAACAGTAAATATGCCTTAAAACAGGGTCTTGCTTCATTGCATGGAGTTGCAGGATCGGATAAGACTACGTTGTGGTTTAATACTGTGGGCAAGCCACCAGAAGCAAAGTATATTAAATATTAATTACTGTAAAATATCTATTTTAAAAAATTTTCATTCATCAGAAAGCCACAGAATGAGATACTTTGTTGCAGTACTGAACAGAATGAGCCTTTGTACGAATGCAGACGTGCTTCACCTGCTCAAGTGGCAGTTGAGCCATTGGTGTGATTCTCCTTGTGCGCTTAAATGCAAAATGTCTAATGAAAATTCAGAAATAATTTTACTTCTGGGCCTGAAGATCTTGCAATTGGATTTGTTGCTCATAGTCCGTTTTTCTTTGCAAGAGAGAACAGCTCCAAATTTGGATAAAAGGCTCTAGCCGTTTTAAAATAAAGTAAATCAAAATAATAGATGAAAAATCTTTTCAGAGTCAGGACCTGGTTGGTTTAAAAAAAGGAAGGACACTTAACATGTTAAATTTTACATGTAACCAAATTAGTGATAGTCTGAACTTTAAATTCTAATTTAACGTTTTTCCTGAAAAGATACCATTTCCTGTCTATCATAACTTGAATTGTCAGTAGGGGAAGAAAATGGTTTTTTTCTTGCAAGCATATGCTTCTTAAATATATGCAGAGAAAATACCAGAAGCTTTTCTGCTTAGTATGGTTATTGCAGCCTTCCAGTACCTAAAAGAGCCCACAAGAAAGCTGGAGAGGGACTTTTGACAAGGGCATGTAGTGATAGAACAAGGGGCAATGGATTTAAACTGAAAGAGGGGAGATTTAGATGAGATCTCGGGAAGAAATTCTTCCCTCTGCGGGTGGTGAGGCACTGGCACAGGTTGCCCAGAGAAGCTGTGGCTGCCCCATCCCTGGAAGTGTTCAAGGCCAGGTTGGATGAGGCTTTGGGCAACCTGGTGTAGTGGAGGGTGTCCCTGCCCATGGCAGGGGGGTTGGAACTGGATGATCTTTGAGGTCCCTTCCAACCCAAACCATTCTATGATTCCATGATTTTATGTTTCAAGGGTCATTTTTGTTTGGAATCCTCTACAGAAAGATAAAAACTTCATGCAGGAGAAAGTACTGGAGCACATCTTTGTGAAAATACTGATGTCTTTTGGACCTTTCCCTTCATTTGCTGTTTCTCCTGTAGCTGTCAGTGAATGTTGTGTGCAGTATTGTCACAGTAATGCAGAACTGCCTCAATCCTGAGGCTACGTTTGCACTTCAAGTTGAAGATTGTGCTTCAGTGCTGGCTTAAGCCTGCTGAGCTTGGTGGCCATGTGCTCTAACCAGAAGAGCTTTGGCTTTACCAGTTCCTCTCGGGTGGAGCACTTGGTCCTGCTGCTACGGACCTGTTCTTTAATGTGCTGAGCACACGTGAGACCCTCCCTCCTGACAGAAGCCTGGAGAATGCCTCTTAATGCAAACTCAGCAGTTTTCACAGTTGATGGGGATTAGTCTGGCCTTGAAAGTTGACACAGATCCTCACCTAAGTGCTAGTGTTGGACTGCATTGTGGTGGTTTTGGGCCAGCCAAGTGGAGACCAAGGTCTGTCTTTCAAAACTTCTATCACTTATTTGTCTCCTGACATTAGATGCTTTAATTGTGGATCTTTTTACTTTTTCATGCTGGTACTTGTTTAGAAAAACAAAAGAAAAGGTAAAATTGTCTAATTTTTTTCTTTAGCTGTTATGGGGGTTCATAGTTCTGCTTATAAAAACTCTTGTCAATCCTTTCTGCCAGGATCATGGTGGCACTGAACCTGCAAGCGGTGAAGAAGACACGAGTTTGGAAGTTGTCATGAAAAGCTTGACTGATGAGGAATCCAACAAAGCTGTAAGTGACTTTAAAGCAATAGTTAGTGATGATCAGAGCTTTGAAAATACAGACTTATTGCCTTGATTTGTTTTCTATCTGCCTTTGTGTTGGAGTATTACAGCACACTTTTATCAAATAACATCCAGTACAAGTAGAAGCAGAATCAAACTTTTAGCTTTACGTACATAGACTGTTCTACTGAACTAAGCAGTCAGTATAATTTCTTAAAACATTGAGATAAGAGGGTTTTATGTAGCATTTTGGCGCTCTCTTGAGTTCTTTGTCAGTGAAGGGATTGAGTTTCCACTCTTGCCATCCATGTGTGACAAACTTCAGAAAAAAGCGTGGTCTGTAAATCATATTCTTATTTATATTCATAGCTTCATAAATTCTAAGGCCAAAATGTCTATTATCATAATCTAGTCTTGCCTCCTGAATAGCATAGCTATAGAGTTACTCTCAGTAATTTCTATATCAAGCCCATAACTTCTGGTTTAATGTGGTACTGTCAGTGTGCGCTGTAATAAATACTGAACTTCTCATTGATACAGATGGGGTTTTTTGTTGTTTTATGTGCCAGGATTGTGCATTATCAGAAATCTGAAAGTCCTTCAGGGTGCAGCTCTCATCTCTTTTTTTGGGCTCTATGTGAAAAGTTTAAAATGGAAAACTATTAAACATGCTGACGAGTGACTTACCTAGAGGTACATAAAATTTGCTGAGATGGTCTTTTTGCCCAGCAGCCTACTCCTTTTGCAAGGAGTGCGTTGGCTGAGACTTGCTGTGTGTGCACAGTTTGCATGTGCTGTCCTCAACTAAGGAAATGTGATATTTCTGGATTTTTTTTTTCTTATATGTCTTCTTCCTGCTCCATCATGTCTTTTGCAAAGAATGTCCTGGGTTTTGCAAATACATATATTTGAATAAAGAATATACATAATGTTCTTTAGCTAGTAAGTATTTAATTAAAGAGTCTATGAACTCCAAGAATTAGGAAGTGTTATGTGCTATTAAAGCATCAGAATTAACCACCCATGGAAATTGGATTGGTTTGTGTTCCTAATGGATTAGAAAAAAGTTGAGTTATTTATATTTGTTAGTCTTGTGCAGAATCCTCCTTTGATGCACTGGAATATAAATGCATCAGAGTTTTATTGTATGTATTTACAGGTGTAATTCACCTGGTTTTATTGCTGTTCTTGCTCAACTTGGCAAGAAACTTGTGAGGGATTACAAGGCAATATGAAAAATTACTCAAATATTGAAGCGGATAAAAATATATAAAATATGTTGTACCAAAATGAACTCTTGGTGTAGGATATTGTGCTGTGCAGCTTTTGAAAGAGGAAGCACAGATTTAATGGGGAAAAAAAAAATTTGCAGCAATCCAAGTTAGGTGTGGAGGGAAGATGCTGCTGGAACAACAGGGAACCCAGAACATCTGGGCAGCTTCTTTTCAAACTTGAACAAGACGGGAAGTGTGGAGCCAAAGGGTAGAAGTTACATTATTTTAGGCTGAAAAGTAAAAAAAAAAAAAATAAAAAAGAAAAAAAAAGATAAAAGTATTGGTGGTAAGAGTTGTAGTTGTTGAGAGCAGAGCAAAGATCCATAGCAAAGTATGTGAAAGCCTATACATCCAACTGCTCATTCCATAAGGGCCAGCCCTTGGTTTAGAGGCATAAATGGATGAAAAATAGTGGAGAAAGCGAGTTTCATGATTTCAGAGTTTTCTTTCAATCAGGATTTTAAAATTACATGGCAAATATTTCTAAGTATATCTTATTTTTGCAAATGCTGATAGTTGTGATCAGTCCCTTCTGACCAGAAGGAAATGGGTTTGTAGTCATATTGGCATTAAGATTTTGACACTGCAGTGTCGAACAACAAGACAGCTCATTATTTTGAGGAAAAGAGATTTCTCTGCAGTCTTCTAGTGACTGTTGAGGCAAAGTCAGTGCCTTGTTTTTCATAGCATGATGGTTGCTACTAAAGCCTAATGCTACTTCACCGTTGTTATTGAATTTCTCAGTCATGCGTCAGGAGAAATCAGGAATGTGAAAGTTAATAAGTAAGATCACATTCACTGGGTAAATAAAAAGTATGTGCTTATCAGCAGAGATCTTCCACAAGTATGTACAACTCAAAGCACGGGCAGGATGTCTCACCAAGTGACAGCTGTAGTTAGAAAAAAAAAAAAAAAATCAGATCATTCTCTATTCATTTGTTGCTGATAAATTTGTCAGTCTCTCCCAAGATACTTTTTGTTGTCACTTCATCACTTTACAAAGTATAAGGTTATATAATGGACATCATGGTAGACTTGGATGATAAGGGGGAAAGGAAAACAACTTCATTTCTGAACTGGAGCCAATGGAAGTGTTGGGCCAAGTCTGCATGCTTATGAGCTGAGGTGGGAGGTAGCCTGATAGAAGGTGGTGGTTTTCTGAGGACTGTAGCTATCTTGCTTTCCATAAGGTGTCTTTGGAAAAGAATTGATATATGAGGGCTTTGAGATGCTCCCGAAACTTTTAACTTTACGAAGGTGAAAATGGCTGGAGCAGTCATGTGTGCTCTGAAGCACCTTGTGTCATCCGTGTCCTGGCACAACGTGTACGTATTTCAGTGTCCTGTAGGTGGGATAATTAAACCGATGTTTGGTAAGTGAGAATAGATTCTTTTTCCATAAAAGATTTGAGCTTGGAACAATAATCTGTCTTTGACACAAACAGAAAACTTGTCCTTGAAACATCAGCGAAGAGGAGGGGCTTTGTAAAAACGCTTTTGGATGCATTTGAGGGAATTGAATTAAATTCAGTCGGGCCACAGGCTCATGACCAATGCTGAGTGTACAATTCACTGCTTGAGGGTCTGGAAATCCTTTTATTTTGTCCAAGCATCTCTAGCGTAGTCTGAGTTCAATGGAGAAGATGGGAGAGATTTAAAGGTGATACTCGGTGCTTACTTGATGTGCAGCATGAAGTTTCAGATTTTAGTCACATATCAGAATGAAAAAAGGAAGTAAGAAATATTTTTTCATTGCTCATTAAAACAATCGCTCATGAAATGACAAAGCAGTCTTCCCCTTTCTCCCCTGACACCTCTGATAATACAATGAGATCACCACTTTATCTTTTTTCTCGTTATCCATTTGGATAATAGTTACAGTCGTACAGTTACAGCAAGCCTGGAGAAAAATGCAGAAAAAACAATGCAGAAGAAAAAAAAAAAAGCCTATAGGGCTTGGCCAGTATTTTCAAGCTTGGTTACCTAAAATTTGATTTATATATTTATTTTTTTCTTTAATGTATGAATTGTCATCTTGAGTAGGAATTCTCTTGAGATGCAGAATATCTCTGTTGTCTTCTGAAGCTGTTACTCAGCTTTTCCAAAAACTAGGCTGTTGATTGGGTTTTTTTAACATGAGGTGAGATAACCTAATACTGTGATCAAAGTGGCCGAAATTTGGCTGAGAGCTAACAAGGGGAAGACACTGGAACAGTCTGGAAGCAGTTGTAGAAGTAGGAGAGAAAAAATATTTTTTAGTGTATTGGAAGGATATGGAAAGAAATGAGGATACAAGTGGAGCCTGTGATTGAAGTGCCATTGTCTGAGATCTCTCTAATGAGGCTGGAGGATGCATTTTAAGCAGTTACTTTATTTAGGTGCTGGCAGCATGCTCAGTGCTGCTGAGGACTCACAAAAAAGGGAGGGGGAAGCAGGGAACAGAGACTTTGAACCCCTTCCTGCTGTAGGCACCAAAGGGTCTCAGCTACCCGCGTGCTAGAGCTTCGGCACACAAATATCTGCACGCTTCCACGCAGCATGGGAATCGCTGTCCCAGTCACTCCAGAGGATGCACTTCCATTTTCTTTAAAGCTTCTTATTGCTCGGGAACAATATAGACCATGCATGATAATCTCCTCACAAAAAAACCCTTTCCTTACGTTGTATCCCTTCAAAACTGTTCGGTGTGTTTTTAGTAATTCCTGATATACCCCGTATACATACTGGTTTTTCCACTTCCAGGTTGTGGGCTTCAGCTGTGTGTTCTGCTACAAGTGTGCTTCTAGGACAAAGTATCGCTGTGTTGGCCTGGGAGCATCGTTTTGAGTTTTGGAGGATGTTTTATTTAAGCTACTGTGTTATTTTCAATACACCTCACTTTCTTTTTTGACTTTTTAGGATGTGAAATGTAAAGCTGACAAACCAGTGCTGGTGGATCA